TAACACGGTGTATAGTTTAGTGACTATTGAAATCCATGTTCAAGTTCAATTATTAAGTAGTAGTACTGATATAGTTCGGTGACAATTAAGATACATTTTTAAGTTTGTGGCTTTAGACTTGACTTGATGGGCTGGAAATGGCAATGGCGGCAGCAATGAATTGTTAAAGATTGCTTGGAAGATCTTATGCTGAACTCATTTTTGTGCCCTCATCTCCCCCCGTAGTTCGATTCTTACCTATGTGGTTAGTTTAATCTAATGGGGTCGGTGAACATATATGTTTGGCCACCCAAAGAGGTTCGGTTAGAACAGCTACGTGATACTTTGAACGGGTTCGGGGGATCCACACTTGCTTGCCGTGTAGAGTATTTGGGGCCTTATGAAGTGAGGCTTAACAATAATCCCTGAAATATATGTATGTTTATTCATATAATGCTTGGACTTTTAAATTGAGGGTTTTCCCTTTTTTGTTAAAAAAAAAGTAGCGTATCTCAAGAGTCCCCAAGTTCATGTTTGGTTATTCATATAATGCGTGGACTTTTAAGTTAAGATGTAAAGTTGTGTGACACGTTGATGTAGGTGAAGCCTGCTGTAAAGCTAAATTAAGTGTAGGTGATGCCCTTGCTAAAGAGGGCGAGCCTGTTGATATAGTTGAAAACTGTTGTAAGCCTGAATTATGTGTAGACGAAGCCCTTGCTAAAGAGGCTGGACTTGTTGATGTAGGTGAAGCTTGTTGTAAGGCTGAATGAAATGAAGGCGAGACCCTTGCTAAAGAAGGCAAGCCTGTTGATGTAGATGAAGGGTGCTGTAAGGCTGAATGAAGCGAAGGCCATGTCCTTGCTAAAGAGAGCGAGCCTGTTGACCTTGAATTTTGTACCTCCGAAGTGGCCAACAAATCTCAGAACCTCTCACATCCATGCAAGCTTGATTCCTATATACTTGGACAAACAGTTAGCCACACGTAACTTCCTCCAGTAGGGGTGGAGTTGGCCGTGCGCACTCCGACGATCAACTTAATTTGAGAAGTAAATATATATGTGTGGGAGACCTTTATATGTGAGTATCATATGTAAAATGTGGGTTGATATTGGGAAGTGATAATATGGAAATGTTATAGCTTGAGGGTCTAAACTTGAATTACCTTGAAAATGGCATTAAGTGTGAGCTTGTATGGTAGAAAAATGTGAATGAGAGTCGTTGGATGAAGAGACACGTGACCTCATCCGTATGACTAATGCCTTTTATCGGAGACATCAATCAATCATAAACATTAAATGTAATACCATTTTACCAGCTATAATGTCTAGCTTGCGGTTTTAGATTTGACCTGATGGACTTGAAATGGCGACGATTGCAGTGAATTGTCACATTAATCACATTCCAAAGATTGCCTAAAACATCTTGTGCTGAACTCCTTTTGTGGTCTTGCCTCCCCCCATAGTTCAATTTTTCCCCATGGGATTAGATTAATCTAATGGAGTCGGTGAATATATTGGTTCAGCCACCCAAAGGGATTCGGTCAAAACAATCATATGATATTTTTGATGCGGTGCGGGGCCCATGCTTGCTTGCTACGTAGAATATTT